GTTGAGCTCCCACAAAGAAGCAAAGCAAAGCAAAGATTGGTAAAGGAGAACATCCAATCATGTGTAAACGTGTTTAACCATGCCCATTTTCTGCCCCCAAGAACAAAATGTTGTTATTTGGAATAGGTTGCTTCGACTTTTCTTAGCAGCATTACCCCGGCTTTGGGGTATACATTTCAACAAAAATTACGAGAGAGAGAGAGACACACACACAGAGAGAGAGAGAGAGAGAGAGAGAGAGAGAGAGAGAGAGAGAGAGAGATTGTTTGTGTGTGTGTGTGTGTGTGCGTGTGTGTGTGTGTGTGTGTGTGTGTGTGTGTGTGTGTGTGTGTGTGTGTGAGAGAGAGAGAGAGAGAGAGAGAGAGAGAGAGAGAGAGCCCTGATATATTATCTTTTTCGTGGGATCAAAAGTCATGTCCTTTGCCTGCGAGGTAAAGGATCTAACGCCAACCTTCATTTGAAAATCAAAACAAGTGAGCTTTTGTCTCCTTTCTCCCTATATGGCAAACCCTTCCAACCAAATCCAAACATATAATACGGATACTTAAAATAAAGCATTGAGTGGTGGGAACTGATAAAAATGGGGAAGTGCTATTCTAAAACCTCTAGTCTGGTGTAAGAAAACAAACAACATCAGCAAGAAAACAAAATACATAAAATAAAAAGAAAGAAAGTGGGGGAGAGACAGGGTGTGGAGGGGGGTGGGGGGAAGATGAGCAGGGCAGGAGTGCGAAAGTGAGCAAAAGAAGAGGTGTAGTGGAGAACGCAGCCTCGGGGCGATCACTATCTCTGCCTTGCTCCTCAAGAATGCGGCCAGAATCGTAAAAACACTTTTTGTGAGTAACGGTGCCGGTCTAGATTCAGGCTCGTACGACGCCTGTGTATCACAGGCAATGGCAGAGTTTCACCTCTTACATGGTAAATGTTTCAGAGTGCCGTATAAACTGAGACATTTTTGGGTCATTGAATTATGGCTTGAGCTCGTCTGGGCAGTTTGCCAAAGGAAAAAAAAAAGACAGTAGAAGTAACATAAATAACGACAAAATCCTTGGAAGGCAGAAAACACACAATACACATATAAAAACATTTCTCTCCCCTCACCCCTTCTCTTTTTCTGTCACACACACACACACACACACACACACACACACACACACACACACACACACACACACACACACACACACACACACACACACACACACACACACACACACACCCTTCCTCTCTCTCTCTCTCTCTATATATATATATATATAATATATATATATACACATATATATATATATATATATATATATATATATATATATATATATATATATATATATATATAGAGAGAGAGAGAGAGAGAGAGAGAGAGAGAGAGAGAGAGAGAGAGAGAGAGAGAGAGAGAGAGAGAGAGAGAGAGAGAGAGAGAGAGAGAGAGAGAGAGAGAGAAATGCATATTACCTTTCCAAATGCATAATTATGAGGTAAACAACTCCTGGTAAGAGTGAGTGGAAGGGATACAACAACTATTCACGATGATTTTAGGTCGATCTTTCACGTCCGAAATTATCGTGTACGCGTCTCTGTGAAAATGGACGGGAACGTGTGCTTGTGCCGTTCAATCCTATTCCAGCCACCTTACAGGTAGGTGCGAGTCAAACAGCCAAACCACTGAACTTCTTGTACTAATGCAACATTAGATATATGCCATTGTTGTACCATGGTGGAAACTCCGCCAAACCCATGGAGGAGCTGCATTTTGATTGATTATAATACTGGGAAAATCTAAACCTGAAATATTCGCAACTAAACGTCAAAGCAAGTAACTCCTAAAGGCACCTTGTCATTTCCAAAAATAAGATTAACAACAGAATTTACTTCATCATAATGCTGGCATATAGGCTATTATTATAAATGACTTTTTAAAAAACTTTGACCATTAATGATTTATTTATAGAGGCACCAGCTATCCATGTCCAGGTGCTGTTTTAGCATTTAAAAACTTTATAAACAATGTCACGTTTTATGAATGTGCCAATGACCTTGCTTCGCTGTGGCCGAGTCTTTGTTGCATTATTTAGAAAAAAATAAATAAATAAAAAAAAAAAAAGAAAAAACGCACCTCATCACCCTTTAATAGAAGCTATTAAATTCCATTTTCATACCTACCTGAAAACTGCAAACAGCAAGGACTTAAAAGCGCATTCGATTTCCCTCAAGGCCACAAGTCAGTAAGTCTCTATTGCAGGCGTTAACCGTGAATGGCCAAAGTGAAGAAGTCTTCAAGCTCCAAAGTACAGGAATCGTAAAAGCAACGTTATCTCTCCCACTATCTCAGGGCAACATTCAGAAAGGGAGATAATGGCAGAGGAAACGGAAACCACAGTTTTATCAGACTCCCCGGAAAAGGGCTGACATGTTTGCAGGCGTATCGTCTGCGAAAACTCGACGTGAGTCATGCGCAGTTCGCTGACCCAAGTTTTAACGTTTGGCAAATGGGAGTGCAACTCGCGAGCAATGATATAATAGGAAAATAATATTCCTGCTCTAAACGACATTCTGCTCTTGGGTGCATGGTGTCTGAACTTGATGTGTGGAAGGAAATGTCAGGGTAAGATAAGAAGGACAAACAAAAGAAAGGGGGGGGGGGGATAAGTGTAGAGCTGTTGTAGTCTGCTTTTACAGGACAATAAGTAATAAGTTAAGAAAATAGCAACCAAATCAAAACAACTAGTAATAAGTGATTTAATCAGAACGAAAGTCGATAATTCACGGAATTCGTTGTGTTGATAAGTGTGTGAGTGTGTGTGGGGGGGGGGGGGGGGGGAAGGGGGTCTAAAGGGAAAAAGGAAAATAAAAAAACTCCTTGGAACGCACACAGAGTAATGTTGTCGCCGTAAGAGAATGAAAAACAGAGAAAAAGAAGGGGAAAAAAAAAGGACGACAATCTAGAACAGAAATAATTTAAAGAAAACGTCAGGATGCGTACATCTCACGAACCGGTTCTGGGACAACGGAAATCCAACTTTGCAGCAGCTTCTTTGCTTAACAATATCTCAACAACCGCATAACGGCAGCAGCGCAATGACAAAAATTGCAGCAACTATAGCATTGGTTTAAAGATTGGGCCCATTTCATTCAGCGCTAGTTATCGCAAGGGTACACACACACACACACACCACACACACACACACACACACACACACACACACACACACACACACACACACACACACACACACACACACACACACACACACAAGAAGCCCACTAAAAACAATAACAACCCTACCCCCCCCCACCCACAACATTTGTTTAGGTAAAAGTAGGTAGATCTGTGAAAATAAAGTTCCTTTCAAAGAATTAAAACTTATACATGCATAAGATATCGGTGTAGCGGGTTGGGTATTGATAACAGACATTGTTTTAAATGAAATGCACAATCATCTATTGCACTGTACAATGCTCCCACAAGCAAAATCTTTTACGTACAAACTTGTGGATGATACTCATCACGAAGGCATGTTCTCCCATGTCCTCACTTTTACTTTCGTTAACTTCTGCTTTCCCCCCTCTTCCTAGCTTATATCCCCCCCCCCCCTTTTTTTAAAGTTAGTTTTTCTGACTCTGCTCAAAACTTCTCACTTTCACTTTCAGAAAAACGTTATTCTTCCATTACTATTTTCCAACCGCCAGTATGTCATTTAGAAAAAAATATTCTTGAGTAAGTAGATTCTATATATTTGAGTTTGTGTGCAGGGTTACCTGGAAGGAGACTAACGCTCGTATAAGATATAATCTGTTGCTGCTCCTGTACAAGATCAATTATTATAATAACAACAACGACAACAACTATAATAATAATAATAATAATAATAATAATAATAATAATAATAATAATAATAATAATAATAATATTAATAATAATAACAGATCTAATAATAATAATAATAATAGATCTAATAATAATAATAATTATAATAATAATAATATTAATAATAATAATAATAATAATAATACTGCTGATAATTTCTATAGTGCCCACTCCCGCAGAACACAGCTCTAGGTGCTCTAGACACCCACACCACGTAAACAGTTACAGCGAAATAAACAAAACTTGGTACAACATACAGGCATACATCGTATGGATGCTCGTATGCCCTTAAACATCCTATTTTTGCCGATTGAACTTTGAAGTACAGTAGCAAATTTCTCTTTGCTCCAAATTGATTTTCTCTCATTTGAGGCTACTTGGTATGGTTCTGGGTTAAAAAAAAAAAAAAAGAAAGAAAAGTTCTGGGAAGTCTCAATATGATGAGATGTTTAAAATCAATCCTGAGATTATGTGTATGCAGAGTTGTATCATTATTATAATCCAGTTTTCTGATGCTTGTTAGTCACTCTGAAACAGAGTATATTGGCTCAACAAGAAATTGTAGTACATATTATTTTATTTATATACATGTATATATATATACATGTGTATATATGTGTATCATGTGATGCCGCCCTGTGGTCAATACAGCGTTCTGGTGGGAGCTTATGTGAGAAATAATAGTGTACTTATCAAACTGAAGTTTTGAGTGTTTCCCTTCAATGACGGTATATATTTCAAAAGGTGAGACCACAATGATAAAGTCCAACTTGGAAAACATTCAGACGAATAGGTCAGAAGTAAGAGAATTTAAAGAATTTTTTATTTTTTATTCTTTAAAAAAAACTTTAAAAAAAAGAAAAGTAAAAGGATCCTGAAAAAAACTGGCGAGTTGCAGAACCAGATAGGAGTGCCCTGAAGATCCGTTTAAAGACGAACATTATCTGCTGACGTATGCCTGTGTTTTGTCACCATCCTGGCAGGCAGTTGGTCATAATACTTGACCATGTTCGCTCTTTACACTTTGCTAAGTATAATTATTTTGAAAATCTCTATTCTTTGTAGCATTTTTTAATTTCGGTGACATGATAAATATATAATTGTGTTGACAGTCTAAACTCAAAAGCATACTCACCGTATTGGCAGTGTTGGCGGACGTCGTCCCTCCTTTCTGATTCTGTGGGGAAGAGGAAGAAGACATGGAGGAGGCAGATGTCCACGCACCCGTGGTGCCGGCAGTCTGGGTTCGGTTCTGAAATCCACTCTGTTTGCCAGCGACTTGAGACGAGGAGGAGGAGGAAGAGGAAGAGGCGGTCCCACCAGTGGAGCCACCTGTCGAGGAGGTGGTCGAGGAAGAGGAGAAAGCCCCGCCACTCTTTTGTTGCCTTTGTTGGTTTTCTCCGTTGCTTGAGGAAGAGTTCTCCGCACCATCCACTTCTACTAGCGGCGCCAATTTGGGACCACCGCCGAGGGATCTGTTGGTTTGATGGCCGTAAAGTTTGACCCCTGACCCTGTAGAGGAGATCCCCTTTCCTCCTCCTCCTCCGACTCCTCCTCCTCCCCCGGGGCCAGGCCAGGTTCCGGTGCCAGGTTTCCTCACGGGGAATTCTACGTTATCGTACGGCTGGTTAGGATCAAGGTCCTGGTCGTACATTGTTGTTTATTATGTCCTAATGTCTGTGTTCCCGTGAGCGTCGTCCCTTAACGAGCGTCCCTCCACTGATGAGACGCTGAGACAAGGCCGGGTGTTGAACTGAACTGGTAAAAGTTATCAACGTTGGCGCATTCGGTGGCAGACGTTATCAACCTGGGTCTAGACGTTTTTCTCAGACTTAGGCGCATTACCCTCCGTAGTATAAGTGATCATAGAGCAATTAATTGTTTTCCTTCTCAAAGACGGGCGTAAAGCACTCGGAGGGAACAGTTATCGACGTGGACCCATTGGACGTTTGTCTCTTCCTACCTAGGCCTGGGTGTTCTTTAGAAGAAAGGAATTAATGGACGCGGTTAAGGCACACACACAATTAAATACGCCAAGGCGAACGTATTGTACTAGATCTAGTTCCCCTCGACATAAGCCCATCAAGGAGATTCTACTAGACCAGGGCCCATTGCAGTCGACAGTAAAAAAGAAAAAAAATAGTCTAGCACCTCCTACCAAAGGTGATACTCTAAGGTATCGAATAAGCGCC